GTTTAGGTCTTAAATTTCATATAAGGTGGTATTAAAAAGGTTTTAGAAAGTCTTAAATTTAACTTGTTCAAGTCTGCAGAAACCCTGACCTCCAATTGGATTCGTCTGAAAGGAGAAAGTCATATACACATAGGATGGCTTGAGGGTAAATCATGGGGTAATTTTCATTTTTGGGTGAACTTTTGGGCTCCGCATTCCGGATGATGGTGGGGAAATCATTCCACCAGCAAGGAACAGTGAATGAAAATGTTCTGGAAAGTGATTTTTTTTTTGCTTCTCCATGATGGTACCACAAAGCGTCGCTGACTTACCAACTTCAGGCTTCTAGAGGGGATGTAGAAGGAGCGAGTGGAAGTAGAAGGGTGCAGAGCCTGTAGCTGTTCTGTGTGCAAGCATTCATGTCTTGAACTTGATGTGAGCCTCAACCGGTAACCAGTTCTGGGAGATAAAGAGAGTTGTGACTTGGCCCCTTTGGGCTTGTTGAAGACGTGTTGTGCTGCTGCGTTACCGAATCATTGTAGAGTTTTGATCGGACATAATCGAAGTCTAGAAGAGCATTGCAATAGTCCATTGTTTTGATCTAAACATGTCTTTAACATTTTGTAGCTGATTGAGCGGAGTCCCACAGCCCTTCCTCGCTCTGCTGTTTACCTCTGCATCATCACCTTTGTCATGGGAGCTAGCATACACCTGGTAGGAGACTCTATTAACCATCGTCTCATCCTCAGTGGATACCAGCTTCACCTTTCTGTCAGAGAAAACCCCATTATCAAAGATCTGAAGCCTGCCTCACTGGTACAGTAGTTAAATGTACAACCAATATAACCAATTTATGTGCTCTTTTTGAATACTTAAAAAAAAAAAAAAAAGATAATAGTAACAAATCCTTTATGTGGTTTCCAGATTGATTCCTTTGAGCTTCTGTATTACTATGATGAACACTTAGGGCATTTCATGTGGTAAGTGTACTTTCCATACTCATATTTCATCTGTAATTGTGCTATAATTTACAAGTTTACCCCCACACCATTCTGTTATCATTATAGGTATGTCCCTTTCTTCCTCATCCTCTTCTTGTATTTCACTGGCTGCTTTACACAAGTTAAAGATGAGAAGATGCCT